TTTGGAAACTGAATTCCACACAAATATAACAACTTTAATGAATGTAAATCATTGTAATTGAAGCGATAATAACTGAAGACAGAGTATTCAAACGGAGCCATCATTTGGATAAGTCTTCGGGAAGCGAAGGAACAGTTGAATAGTAAGGCATACGTGAGAAGATTGCCGTTAATTATCCGCGAATTTGCCGGCAATTCATATTTGAAGGCAAATGTCTGCTTGAAATCAATTAAATGCCTAAAAGTAAGCAAATAATCCAAACAGTATTTCGCTTCCTCGATGTCGTGATGACTATTTGGTAGAAATGTTTTCAACAAAATCAATGAATTCTCAAACAGTTTATCACTCGCTTTGAAGCCCAATTCAATTGACAGTTTCATAGCTTTTAGGTTTAGACACTCTAAACATAAATCAACGGCAGAAATATTTGCGTGCATTTGTTGATCAAAACACATTTTGTGGTATATTTTTAGCAAATATTCAATAATTTGCAAATTGTTGTATTTTAGTGAACACTTTAACTCTTTTAAGTCTTTTACTGAGAGATTCGCTCCGTTTTTGACCAGAATTTTGATTGCGGACAAACTGTTGACTTCAATGGCTTTAATCATAGGAGTTGAGCCATTCATTGCTAACACGTTAACATTGGCTCCAAATGATATCAATGTCTTGACAATTGACGGATCTTTAGACATAGACATCCACTCAATGGCCGCAAACAGTGGTGTCAGACCTTTGGCTGTCTTCTCATTAACTTCGGCCCCATTTTCACAGAGAATTGTAGCGATTGTTTGGCTGCCATTCATTGCCGATAAATATAACGGTGTCTTCATTTCTGGCGTATATTTAATATTGACATCACATCCGGCTTTGACCAGCAGTTGGACGGCTTCCTCCACATTGTTGTGGACGGCGTGATAGAGAACGGGAGGCATTTTCCTCTGTCCGACACCACCGTTAAAGTCATGACCCGTTGATATCAACTTTTCTATAAGGTTTAGATCTCTCCTATCAATGGCACGAAGACATCGTAATTCATTCATCACTTCGTATAACAATGAATTGACATTTCAGTGAATGTTAATTAAATTTAACAAAAATATCGAGAATTTTGACAGAAATATGGGTAAAGTGTATAACTTTTATTCAAAAATTACTTTTTAATTTAAATAATTAGGAATTTATTCAGAATAATATTGTGTTTTGAATGAAATGTGATTTCTTAAATAACTATATTATTTCTATAAATTCCTTGTCAACCTTTGCTAGGTTGTAAAGGGTATATTTGTGGGTTTTACCCTAGTGGTGTTCGAAAGAATACATATGACAGAACTTTAATATCAGATGTACTAAAAATACAATGACAATAATTGAAAAATTAAAATAATTCAAAAAATATTCATTTTTTAATAATATCATTTTAATGCTAAAACAAATCACTACATTATAAACACTTAATATTATAATTCAATTTAGTAATTGATGTTAACAATTAGTTTAAGTTAAATATTCATAAATAATGATAAAGTATGGGAAATAAAGCGTGTTTATTAGTTTATAGTAAACTTATTTAAATAATTAATTATAAAAAATTAGTAATATTTTAGGTTATACGTTAAAAATGTTAAAACTTATTGTTTAATTTGTTATTGATAATATTTGAAATAGAGTTCAGGGATAATTTAATTTTTTGTTTACAAACCCTACTGTAGTGTAGGGTTCAGTCATTTCATGATTTTATTTCCAATGTATTTGAGATAAATGTCCGGTTTTTAATACCTTAATCCTAATCTGACATCAATTTTTGGATACCATTCCTAAAAACGCCAAAACTATGAATTATAATATAAAGTTATTGAAGTGATGAAGCATTGAATATTTATTGTTCAAAATGACAATTTTAAACAAATGTTTTACTTTAATTTGTATGTTTTGTTTAATTATAATTGAAATTAATGTTACAAAAAGTGTTAAATTAATAGACGATACAAATGTGGACAAAATAGAGACTGTTTTGGACATAAGTAGATCAGAATTGAGCAAAATATTGGGTAAAAAAGTCATCAGAACTAATAGGAAACTAATGGGAAGGAAAGTCATTCTCAATCAAATCAACGAAACGTAAGTATAAAATAAATTATTTGATTAAAATTATTATTCATTATATAAATTATCATTTTATATGTTTATTAGCGAAACAAAACACTACTCTTCAGCGAATTTATCGACCGATTTTCAAACGCATAGAATTGTCATGAATTTTACCCAAAGTTCTCTCAAATTATACAATAATGAGACAAACATTGCATTCAAAGCCGACATCACATCTCAAACGTTGAATTCATCTCTCAAAAGATGCCAACAGTACTTACAATTGCATCAAATACTTGACACTAATGTTAACAAAACGAAAGACATTTGTTCAGCAATTTATTCATTTTATTGCGATATTAATAATTGTAATCAAAAGATAGTCCAACAGAGGATCACATAATATGTTATTCATTCACACATTTTCTCATAATGTTTAACACATTCTCATTTAATCTTATTAAAAATTGTTTTTTAATTAAAATAAAAATTAAATAAATTATCAATAAATTAAAAATGAGATATTCGTTCACATTTGGTCGTCTCTAATCATTTGTGATCCGTATTCAGCGACCATAACAGTTGCGGGCAAATGGTTGGCGTTAACCACTTGAGGCATTATAGACGCGTCCACCACTCGAAGTCCCCTCACGTTTATCACTCGTAGTCTCTCATCGACCACAGCTTTGCTATCGTTGGCCGAACCGCACCGACAGCTCCCGACTTATCAAATTCAGAGCAAATATTTATCATCTATTAAAAGACCACTTAATGCCGATCACATACCGTGTCTATAGACTGCTTGCGCTGTTTGTCTCACTAAACACCTGAGGTATGAATCGCAAGTGTCATCGCCGGCGCATTTGACACATCCGGGAACTGTTGTGGTTATTCGGCGGGTCTGTGCGGCGAACGGACCAACTGTTGAGATGCGAGTTATCATATTTCTGATACCATTGACGGTAGAGTCCATATCATACGAGTCGCCCAAATAGTTTGGGTCCACAATTGGCAGCGCATTTGGGTCACTGGAGGCGAGCCTAACTGTGCCGCGAGCTCGTGGTCTCACCATTTGATTGTACATTAACAAAAGCCGTCGACCTTTTAATTAACCGGATGTAAATGAAAAGGGGTTTAAAGAAAATATAATTACAAACACTATACCGACATATGGTTTCCAAAACTCTTCCCATTCTTTAACGTGGGATCCGTATTGTCTAACGATGTCCGGCAAAGTATACCACATGTTATTACTGCGGGTCATTTCAGTCATAATGTCGGGCCAGTCGGGCTGGTTGTTGACGGGTGTGACCTGATATGTGGCCGCGTTTGGGAACATTGTCAGAGCGCCCGCATTATTGACATAATATTCATATAGGTTTTGGACCGTCAGCTCTACGAACTCATACGATTGGCTCTGATTTAAGATATCATAGTAAAGGACAACTGAGGTGTGATCGTGGAAATTGTCGCCCACCGGCAGGTCTGACACCACCGGTATGTTTAGGCTATTTAAGTGGTCTTTGTGTCCGATTCCTGACAGCATTAGTAGTTTAGCGGAACCGATGGCACCTTTTGGTGATTTAAATTAAAATTATAATTATTTCTAATCAGAAACTATAGTATAATATAATTTTGCGACAAACCGGCAGATAATATAACCTCGCGATTGGCGTTAACTGTATATTGAATGCCATTTCTTGTAAATACAATTCCTCTCGCATTCAAACCACTATTGTTATAGAAACTTCGGTGTCGAGCCCACTCTTATACATTCAATAAAGATAACTCTAAGCCACAATTTATTCGCCTTCTTCACCAGTGAAAGTCCGGTAGGAAATAAACCACGACTTTATTACAACAGCCCAATTGTGTCGGTCCTGTCAATGAGTTAATTGTTATATTGATTTTACACGTTTACAATACATTGCAAACCATTGACGTCAACGGTTGGATATCCAGCCATAACTGCAGTGTCGAGGAATGCCTTAAAGATGGGCAAAGCGTTGAGATGAGACCAATCGCTGGACACTGTCATCGCACCGGAACTGCTGTGAAATCTTGAATTCTTTGCCAAATAAGCGGAATCCGTGTTATTCTCAGCCCTCAGAAAATACTGAAGAATATTGTCGTAATTCCAACCAAAACAGCCATACTTTGTCGCCCATTCATCAAAATGGTTTCGGTTTCCTCTGTTGTAAACCATTCCGCCTTTTGTTCAAACAATAAGACAATCAATTTGTAAATGCATTTTATAAATGCAATGCAATAGTAAACTGACTTAACGTCGACGAACCGCCCAATACTTTGCCGACAGACATGTGGATGGGCTGAGTGTAGGCGCGGGCTATGTTTGGCTGGTCTACGAGCGGATAATTCCAATCAAACTCCAGATTACCGGTGATTGAGAAATAATTGGCCGGAATGTCGGTAATCACAGTCTCGGGTCCGCCCGCCTCTAACAGCAATACATTAATGTTGGGATTTTCCGACAGTCTGGCGGCCACTACAGCACCGGCACCGCCGGCGCCGACAACTATGTAATCATAGCTCGTTTGCCACGTCTTTCTTGAGCCGCTATTTAAGTGCTGTAATTGTCTTTGAAGTGTTATTATTGATATAGTTATTAATTGCAGTGAAAGACTCGCTGTAATTAAAGTCATTGTTTATTTCATATTTATTTCATTATAATTTTTTGTTATATAATTTACGTAAAGTTAAAGACTAATTAAAAGAATACAAAAAAAGTTGTAAAAAGCAATATTTTGCAAATATACAGTCTAGTTGTATTTCATGAATAACTTTTAGTTTTATTACTTTAGTCCACATCTACTTATAAATCATATTTAAATACGAGACAAACAATACAGTACTGTAACGTATATACCGGTGCCGTTATATAATAGTATATATACAATAACAAATTTAATGATCAATTTAGATATATAGTGGTATTATATACATCTAATTAATGATTATATAATTTATTATTTAATTAGATGTTACTCTTAAATAAGTATTAAATAAATAATTTATATATTCTTATATGTGAAGTGCACTACTGTATATTTGTGTGCATATTAACAGTTATTATGTAATACATGATAAGCTCATTAACATTTAACCCATTTTATAAATACTTTACACTTTTATGGCACCTAATCATATACACTGACCATAAACTAACGCATTAATACATTATTCAAAAAATACTTATTTCATGATCACATTTTTAGCTAAAAATCAATTTTAAAAAAGATCAGTCGATTCAGGTCTTCGTCCGTATATTTGAAGTAAAATACAAATATTTTAAGTGTTTTTTGTTTTGTTTATTATATTAGGAAAAACTCAAACACAAGACTTTATTTGTATTGATGTATCGATGTGTAGATATAGTTGTTTTGTCGACACTTTAATAAAAATGTTGACAGAATAGACACTTGTCTTAATTGATGACCTTTTTATGACATCCAAAATGCAATCATTTATTTGTAAAACAATAAATGTGTGTATATTTAGAAATGTGTGTTTTATTCACTCAAAAATACATTAAATTGCAATACAATTAGCTATAACTTCAAAGATCTATACCTTTCCTGAAACATACTTTAGATACTTTAGTGACAATTTCAAAGAAAAAACAAATTATAATAAATGTTTTATTTTTTATATTTACTGTATACGTGATTGACCATATTCTCACATTGTCAGTATAGTTGTATAAGTAATATAGTGTACCGGATTACATAGACTTTAAAGTTTAATATTAAAGGGATCATCATGAATAAAAGTGTGATTTTATAATGTTATATATTAGGTAAACTAGATAGTATAAAACTCCTACTGTATATTTTTACATACTGGTCATTTCTACATCCCATAAAAGGTCCCAAACCTATTGCATACGATCCGAACAATTCATATAAATACATATTTGTATCAAACAATAATAATTTAATAAATTATTGTATGAAAACATATTTTAATAAATAGACGGTTGGGTTATCTGATTATATTTGCAATGATTTTGTTATTTGTTGTGTTCACAGCCGAAGACGTGACCAAAATTGAAAGATTTATCATATAATGTGATTTCTTGCGCTCGAAGTGATACAAATGTAGTAATGAATGCCATTCACATAATTTGGATGAAATTGTGTTACAAAATGAGTGATGAAATTCAATAATAAGCCATAAGAGTGACCACAATATCCATAATAATTCTCGTCCTTTCCGTCAAAACAGTAATTTCACTCTTCGTCTAACAGACGAGAAATCAAATGATAAATATTTACCAAAAAAGAGATCTCAATATCAATATAAGTGTTGATTTCAGAGATAACAGTTTGGTTTAAGAGATACCACTTTTGACAGACATCGAGGAAATAAAATATATTTTCAACGACATTATAATTCTCGCCCAAAATCTCACCGATATTTGCACAAAAAGCACTCTTAATCTCAATATAAATCATCGGTTTATTAATTCACACTATTATTGCATTTTATGATACCTAGAAATTGTCAATTATCTAGTTTTTGATTTATGATTTGTTTCATGGTATCTTAATATTTCAAAATATATTAAATTAATTTGTGTTAAAATTAAAATATAATTTTCTTTATGTTTAATCAACTGCTTATAATACAACTGTATAGAAAATTATATAAATTAATCATTTTATTTAATTTGTGCTATTTTTATGAAACCTAAACGCACTGCACATCACATCTTATATATTATATGGGATATAATTGAAAGCAATTTATTTCGTTCACGACTGCTATTAATAACTACAGTTACGATACAGTGGTTAATAAGTTATACTTAAATTAATTATTTTGCTAAACATTTCCATATTTTAATCATCGATTAATTCAAATACAATTCATATAAATATTGTTATAATTGAATTAACAACGAATTTCAAGTTCATATCATTTCTATTGACGTTCATATAAAACAATAAACGAAAAAATGGTTAAAAGTATTGCAATAATATGAGTATTTTTCTAATAAATTATTATTAATAATTTTATTTATTTATTATGCAGTGTTTATCACATGGAAAAATAAAATAATTTAATAATTTAGTTTTAATAGTTATTTGATTATAATTAGAGTTAATTTGGTATCTAAAATATCATATAATTTGTAATTTTATTTCATTACAATGTTATAACTTGAATACTATTTACACGATCTATAAATAAATTTCTAATTAAATGATTTATCTATAAATATATATTTACAAAAATAATACTAATATAACATTCTTTAAAAGAAACGTAAATGAAATAAAAGATAAATGTAATCTATATTTTCAAAAATACTAGAATATTCTGTAGAATACTATCCATAGAAAAGGTTATATATTTATGAATTATTGCTATAAATATATCGTTTTGTCAATATTTCGAGAGTAACTTTATTGGTGTTTCAAATAAAGCCTACGATTTGGTTACACCTTTGAACAACAGTTTCAGTGTTTAATAACATAAGTTATGTTACATAACTGTATATTTCAATCAATATACTGTACATACAATGTATATAGAAATTAATTTCTACAAAAATACATACTATTTGATTACACGATTGAACAATATTTTGGTGTTTCATTTAATTTGTAGAAAATAATTCGTTAAACCGTTTTCCATAATTTATTTTTATACTATATTAAGACATTTATTATATCAATACTTATTTCTTATAAAGGAATTTACTTTTATTAGAAAACCAATTATGAGAGCATTTTAATCAATTTAATTCTTTTTCTCATGTTTTGTAGATTATCTCAAAGATTTTTCTCAATTTATGAAAAATGAATAAAAATAACATGTAATCTATTCATAAAAATATTAAATTAAAAAATATTTTATTTTTTGACTTAAAAACTAATTTTATATTTTATTTTCAATTTACATTTTAATAAAAACAAGGTTCACACAGAGATGCTATATGTTAACCACAATTCGGGTATTGCTCAATGAATATATTAGCATTATCCATTAATTTAATATGGGTCCCATAGATTTAACATTGTCCATAGGGTTAGCATTACCCATGTTAAAGTATAGCCCTATCCTTCAGCTGTAATCCCATTGAAACCCATGTATAAGCCTTTCTCATAGAGAAATGTCACTATAATGCTCTCGGATCGACATGGGATCACATGTTAAATTCCATTGGGAGGGGCAGAACGATCCTATAAACCATATTCTTCATATATGAATTGTATTTAAAAATCAGTTTCAATCAGGGTAAATTAATTTTTAAGCATTATATTAGATATGCTTAATATATAAGAAGTTTTATGTAAATTGTTTTATTAATTAATGTAATTTATTATAAAAAGCAAGTGATTCATAGATTGGCAAACAAAACCAAATGTTAACAAAAACTGTTTGTAATTAAAATTGTATTTTAATGAGGGTTTGAACTGAATTACATGCATATGTGATAATACCGTAGATACACAACTGATTGCAATTCAATTACTCAATATAACAGTACTCTTCTCATAACAAACCCCTTCTTCTTGTGCTCTAATAATTCATACATTTATTTGAATATTTTGGCACTAGATTTGAGACCTAAACATAACGTTTGCACAGATATTCACAAATATATTCCCATTTAAATAATCTTTTCTTCACTGAGAATAGCATTCAATATAGAAATTAAAGTGCATTAAAAACGAGTGAATATTCCGTAAATTCATCAGTAATTCGTGTCTAAGACTTATGGAAAAAATCTTCAAATAATACATAAGAAGTGTTAACAAAGAAACTTCGACTTCAATGAAAAGACCAAAAATAAATATTTCCTATTATTGTGTTGTTTTGTTGTATGCAATCTATGGCTTAAAATAAAATATATTCACTAAATATTTGTTTTTTACTTTCAATCTCTAGTGAGAAGTTTAAATTATATATTTTATAATATATTTGAAACTTCTTTATAGAACTTAAAACGATTATAAATTAAAAATGATTAATACATACATATACTAAAAAATAGTTTTGTATTTATTTTAATTAAATTTCATATTTTGTTCACAATCTTTACTTTGTTAATTAATTAAAATTGCAATTCGCAATAGTACTGGTCATTTTGTTTTATAATTTATAGAAAGCGTTAAATAAATGTTGGCTTAAATTTGATTAGATCAATAATTTTATATTAGATCTAATTTTTATCAAATATTTTTATTTTTATAACTAATGAAAAAATAATTTATTTAAATGTTTTGTTGTTTCGCTCGGAGAATGAGTACTAAAACCAAAAGTCCATTCAAAGTATTTTATGGTCTAATAAGTGACGCAAACACACAATTTATCCTCCGTTTGGATCTCAACTCAATTACAATTATCAGAGACTCGACGCCTAATCCCATAAATCTATTGAAACTCAAAACTAAATGATTAGAAAAGCGGATGAATATTAAGAATCGACGAGTTATTTAATTAATGAATGTAATTATTTTACCAATTTTATCAAATTATAGACAATTTTGTTTTATCAAAAATATTATACATTAATTTGAAACCTATGTTTTGTGTTTGTAACCAAAATATAAATTTTATTTTATTTATTTTATCGTTTAATAAAACAAATGATAAATATTATTTATTAAAAAGCCAACTTTTAAAAATGTCAAATAAATGTTACCATATTGTTATAAATATTACTACTAATATAATGATAAATCAAATTTTAAATAAATGCATAAACAGTAGTCAAAGTGTGCTAAACAAGTGATTTGAGTACTAATTTAAAAGCGGATTAAATTATTTTAACTAATTTATGACTAATTCTGTGGTTGTCATGACTTTACATGGATTTGTTTTTTGTACACAAGTTTTATGCATTTTCCCCGCAAAACAATATGTCATGTAGAATAACTTTCATTTAATTGTATCTATTGTTATATAACAACAAATGCACGAAATTTTAGGTCACATAACGTGATGTTTAATACAAAGTTCAATGTTAAATAAAGTTATATGAAATTCATAACTAAAACATTAATAATTGTAATTAATAAGAATATTGACCACAAAAATCTCATAATTCATAACTAATATATGGATTGAGTGGTGGGTTTGCTAACAATGAACTAAATTATTCAAATATTAATAAATATGTTATTTATTTAGAAAAGGCAAAACATAATTATGTGGCAAACATAACATATAACATAACATAACGTTTTCATTCAGATTTTTCGTTAATAAATGTGATGACAAATACTTTTATTTTTGATATTATTTTAGGTATTATTTGCGACAAAATGTCAAAATATATACCGAGAAGAAGGTTAAATATTTGCCTAAATATATTAAAAAGTATATCAAATAAATAAAAGGACTGTTTGTCGGATTTGTATAAAAGTTATAATAAAACATTTTTATGAAAATCAGTAAAAACGCAAACGAAATGATAATAAATATATGTTTTATTGACAATCAAAGCGATGACTGAATGTTTGCCAAACATATCGACACGTATTCTCTTCACTTGACTTTCACTTTGAGATTACTCTTCAAAAGTAATTGATATATTGATTGAAAGTTAACGCTTAAAAAATATACTTTTTGAGAATTTATATTAAAACCATAATATTTATAAAACAAAAAATATCATTAATTTGTTTAAGTAATAAAATAATAAGTTTTACGAATAATTGAAAAACAAAACATTGAATTATTGTGCAAATCATGTCAACCATATTCTAGAATATTCTCGTCTAGAATCTAGACTATAAGCGGTGTTTAATAAATGAATATTGAAAACACAATTATATAATTATTCATTATATTTTATTTTTATGTAATAATAATATTTATTGTTAAATAGAGTAA